AATATAGTTTTTAAAAAGGACATTTTAAGATTTATAAAGTCACAAGGACAATTTGTTTAAAAAAAGGACAGGTTTGCCACCTAAACGTAGGTGAAAATCTATTACTTTTTAGAATAATTCTAAAATTAAGATTTTTAAGCATTTGTATATGAGCAGTTTGTTAATTCATAGTGTAAAATCAATTTAAAATCAGTTTTGTGTTGTGTTAGCGTGCAATGCTAAAATATGTAAAATTTTTAAAACGTTCTAGAAGATAAACGTGCGTGGACTTATGTGTGCATGTTCAAATTAATTGCAAGTAAAAGAACAGAGATGCTTTTTTAAGATAAGGGTTGAAAGAATAATTTAGCATTTCTCTAACCAATCTTTTGTATAAGTACAAACTTTTATTTATTCAGATCAAATTGATTTGATTTCTTTCTAATAATATTTAGGTTTCTTTAGATATACTGTTTTTGGGTGTTATTGTATTTTAATGTAAACTTATTAATGTTAATTAATTAAAGTAGTATTAAAGCCAAGGGTCGACTTAGGCTAATTAAAATTTCATTTAAGCATAGAAAATCTTATCCTTATATCAGTTGGTTACAAAAACGATCACAAAAATTTATGAACCTAATAAAATCTGATAGATTTTTGAATTTTGAGTAATATGAGATTCGTGTTCTTGCAACTAGCTGTAGATTTTGTAAACTGTGAAGACATACAATTTTGTGTATCGCTACCCAACAAACATTTTGTATAGAGGAATAAAAAGCCCAATAACTGTTACCCTCCAATTATTGTAATGATGGTCATTTAACTTTTACGGCCGACAGTTGAGCCGAAGTCACTTAGCCATCATATCCAGTTAATAGGCCTTTATCGTCTGTAGAAATAAATATAAGGTGGCCCAACGAAAACTTGACATGGTTGTTTCGAGTAAAAATATCATGGGTTTTTAAAAACGCTCAAACAGGTCGTTGTTAGTTTTTTTTTCTTATTGCAGCATCGTTACTTTAACCATCGCGCTAAATAGAGAAAGTTCCATGGATGATACATCATTGAAAACGTAATTTGAGTAGAATTCGGTAATAAGACTATTTATTGCGTATCTTTTGATTTTAGTGTCGTCTAGCTTGATAAAAAACTGTTATGCATTGTAATGTATGACTATGAAAGCTAATTTTAATACTAATTCAATGCATTACATAAGATTAATCTAAATATCTTCATATTACACTTGTAATAAAATAAAGTTAGCAATAATAATAATAATAAACTTTATTGCCCAACAGAATAAATCCAATTATAGGACAAATAAATACATAACACAATATCATTTCATACAAAGAATAAATAATAAATCTAATAGATAAATTAATCTTAGCCATGAAACATAAATATAAATATTTTAAAATTAACAATGCACAAAAAGATACAAAAAATAATAATAATATAAGGCAGGACACATTTCAACTTTTAATAATTAATAAAAAAAAATTCTAGATTAACATTAAAATGGTGAAAATTAACTAATTAACAAAAGCATAATTAATAAAAAAAATAGTGATAAAAATTTTTTGTCTACGGATTATTGTTTATTCATATGTCTACTTAGTACCCAATTTTTTTTATTCCTTAATATTAATATTTAATCAGTTAAAATAATTTTTTTAGTTCATGTGTCAGATTGGGGCGATGCGCGCGGCAGCCGAACCACGCGTTTTTACCGTTATTTTCGCCGCTTAATTAAAATTATAAGGGTTGTTGGTACAGTTCCGGGAGGTAGGACTTTTTTTTAGGAAATTTCCTGCTCTTTAAAGATCTTTTTTCAAATTTCGATTATCTCAACTAGTTTTTGAAATATTTCAAAATACCAAACCCTTATTTTTTATTTTACTTTATTGTTTATAACTTTTGCATTTTTTTTCAGCACCTCTTGGAATTTTTATAGAATATTCTAGATGCCATTCCGAATTGAATGAGCCCAAAAACATAATTTTCGGTGCTGGAGAACAGGTTTCGAGGGAAATGGCACTTGTGAACCAGACTACGAAAACGTCTCAGACTCAGGCGCATTTAATCTTGGAAAATAACTTGTTTAAGAAGCAATGGACAATCAATTAGGTCATGCATAATTTTATAAATAATTGAAATTGACATTACCATTTTACAAACGTCTAACTAGTTCTTCCTTGGCAGATTTATAAAGCTTTAACTACATAGGTGTGCGGTCAGGAGCTATACCAACTTGACGATATCTACCATCCTTCAGTTTTTAGAATTCTTTAAATATTTAAATATATGTTGACTATCCGCCAGCTTAATTTTTAATGGTCTAGCCTTAGCGCCGGGAACAAATTTTCCTAGCCTAATAGGTTTTATATCGGAATCAACATTCTCAGGTAACACGTAACCTAAGATATTACGAACCACTTGATTATCAGATTCAATTTATTCCTGAGCTTTTCGTTCTTGGGATTCTGGGACATTAAACAAAAGTAAATTACGCTGCCTTTTTTGTCTTTCGTATACTTCATTAACGATATTATTGTCATGCCTTCAATATTAGAAGGTGGAACAGTGTTTCTGGTTGATAGCGACTCCTTCAGCCCAGTTACTTCTTTCTTCAATCCTACAATAACTGAACGTAATAGAAAAATAAAAAGAGAAGGTTTGAATAAATGGTGGGAGGTATTTCCTTGTTGGTAGTTGAACCGTAAGCGCTTAACGCGCTGCTATCACTAAATTCAAACCCGTTTTACACCCATAAAAAATGTATTTTCAAAAATAATGACAAAGAAATCAATAATTTTACTGATTTACCCCTTTAAATTTCACTTTAATATAATATGTGATCAAATACAGGGATAAACGTTAATACATTTTAAGTTAAAGCTAAATTTAAATATTATTAGATTCATTTAAATTTTAATTGCAGAAGTAAGTATTTTTCTCACAAAACTAACAAGAAATTTTATGTTTTTCCTGCTATTATTACTCTAGAGATAAATGGATCCACATTTTAAATATTTGCGGTCAAAAAATGAAAGGAGTTTTGAGCGAAATGTGTGAAGCCAATTTACAAACAAATATTGTAGAACCCGAGATAAAACCTCATCCTAGTTTTACTCATAAAGACCATGATGAAAAAAGGCGAATGATTTGTATTCAAAAAGTTATTGTTCAATTTTTGGGTGATATTCATTATTATATTTATCAAATAATACTCAAATATGTTCAAAAACTTATATGCTATTTAGGTCAACTTGTTAATTTTTGCATAGTTCACCTATTAATGAAATTTTTATACCTTTTATTGCAAGAAAAATTTAAGAATTTAAAAAAGTTATGACTCGTGTTAATTTTTAATTTTAAGATACACACTGCACCTTTATATTTGTTTTGTTTTAGATATTCCGGGGTATGGAGATTTTTGGAATGTGCATAAATGTGTTTCTTAATCAGGATGAGTTTCAAAGCCCACCTGTATTGAAGCTGGAAGCTTATTGTAACCGAAATAAGCATTACAACTATTCTAGATTGAAATAGATTGGAAAAGGCCTTAAAGGGACAATAAGTATAAGAATATTAGAATTAGAATGATATGTCCTTGGATTAATAAGGGATATTTAAAACATTAACACAATTGTGTTTATAAATTAACTACTTTGACTTTTTATAAAAACTATATCCGGTTTTTTAATAATAAAAACATTGTCATATGCTATGCTGGTTATCATATTATATTTTTATTTTTCAGTAATTTAGTGTGTGATATAGTGTTTTTTATGTTCAAAATATGCAGTTAGAAGATAATGAGACACATGTAATTACATGGTAATTATAAATAAATTAAACTTGGTAAAAATGTGTTTTATTTTTCAACTAATTTTATTTTTCAGTTAAAACAAGTGACATTTTCTATTTTTCAACATTTAGCTACAACAAAAATTCACTAAACTTATTGTTTGTTTAGTAGTTGTAAGTAAAAGTTGTCAAATAGAAAAATGTTACTTCAAATTGCTTCAAATATCTAAATTATCAAGCCCGCCAATTTTTAAATCGCTTTAATTAGTAGTGTTCTACTTTATCGACTGAAACTGACAGGTGTAGTTCAACCGTAAGCGCTTAGCGCGCTACTGTCGAGGTCAAGCAAACTTGTTACCAACTATTTACATGAAATTCGACCCCCGTGCTGAACGTAATTCATTTATTTCGGCACTAACAACCAAACAATTGGGGCAAATGCAAACAAAGACTAATAATTTTGAGACACTAAAAATTCTCAAATATACACATGTATTTGTACACAACACCAACGCTCGCATTTACCCAGCATGGGTACATAAATTTATAGGTTATGTACCTGCCCTGATTGTTTTCCTTTTCTAAAGCTAGTAAAACGATTGTTTCTCAACGAAAGGCCAATTTGTTAGCTGATGATGGCCTGATGGCAATAGCAGTTGATTTTTGTCATGCTTTTACCCAAAAGTGTTATTTATCTTTTATAAGGCCATCATCAACCAACATAATGCTGGGATTGCTGGGCCACTTTCGAAAGGCCGTCGCATTTATTTTCCCTTCAATTACAGCAAAAGAACAGCAATATCTCAACAATTTATCGTTTGCTGGATTACCTTCATTCCAATACCACATATTAGATTTTTTGCGAAATGAGTTAATTACTGGTTTTGAACATATTGTAGACGCTCTATTAAACGATTCTAATACTGGGAAATAAAAAAAAAATTATTTGTCAAGTTATTAATAAATTTTTAATAACTAGGTTTAGATTCTCTTACTAAGATATAAAACGTTACATTTAGTCATAGGAGGTATTGGAATAAAGGTATCTAATTTACATGCTAAAGCCTCGATGGCAAGAAACAAATATAAATGATATATAAATTTATATAAAGTTATAGAAAAACATACTACTTTATGAATCTTATTTTCGAAAAAAAATATTCTGCTGCTAAAATGACATATCTTTTAACACTTGTTTTTTGTTTCAGATTAACCATGTACTCCAGAATAAATGGAACTCAAACTAACATACTTAATAGGACAAACAGTATATGTCCGACACCAGAAGAAAAACTTTTAGAACTGGTCCTGAGCAACGACACTGATGAAATAGAGAACATCATTAACGAAACATTACTAAACTATTTGTACAATGACTACAACAAACCAATTCTTCTTATAACGTGTATCGAAGAAAAAGTTAATGCAGCGACTGTTGAAACTTTGATTAATTCCGGAGCAAATTTACGTTACTCAGATGAAAATCAATGGGAAGCGTTACATTTTGCTGCAAAAAGAACAGACGTTTCCATTTTAACGACAGTTATCAATGGATTAAAAGCTATAAATTGCAATATTAATTCTGTGTTAGCCGAAAATAGCAACGTTTTACACATTCTAATCAGATATGGTGATAGTAGTAAAGAAGAATTCGAGGAATGCGCTAAGCTTTTAATTCAGAATGGTATAGACGTAAACCACGCAGATAGCAAAGCGATGTCTCCAATTCTTTGGGCAGCTAAAAACGGTTTAAAAGATATTATTAAAATTATTTTAGAATGTAGTCCTGTACCAGTAGATCTTGATTCACATAAATCCAGAGGTCAGACTGCGAGAGATATTATTATTAACAAAAAATTATATAATGGTATTTTACCAGAAAAAGTCGATAATAATAATCATCACAGAAATTCAGGAAGCAATGAAGAATCTACAAAAGAAATAGTTGCACTTTTTAATTATATAAAATCAAATCGAGAAAATGATTTTATCAATTTCAAAAATGGAAATATCTCAAATTTAGTAGACCTCGATAATGGTAATGATACCTTATTACAATTAGCTACGGACAAAAATTGTAAGGAAATTGTACAACATTTAATAAACAATGGTGCTGATAGGCTTAAAGTAACAAACAAAAACCAAAAATCTCCATTGGAAATTGCAGCTGATCATGGTTTTTATGAAATTTTTAATATCCTTTTAACAAATTTTAACAGCCCAATTCCAAATACTGTTCTAATAAGTTTACTTAAATACTACGATAATACAATTTTCGAAGATACTGATAGAAGTAAATGCTGTAGCTACCTTTTGGAAAAACTAGCACACAACAGTAACCTGCTAGATATAAACGAACTTGATGCATCAAAGAATTCTCCTTTACATTACGCTGTACGGTACGCTGATGCGCCCGTGATCAAGCAACTTCTTGATATAGGAGCTTCTTTGGGATCCAAAAATGTATTTAACATCATGCCTGTACAAAATTTGGAACCAGAATTATTAGAAAAACATTTAGACAGTTGCGTTCAATTCGATTTTAAAGGAAAAAAAGATAAAGAAGATTTTGAGATAACATTTAACTACCGCACTTTGATGCCTCCTCCTAAGAAACTTGACAAACCAGATCCGGAACAAGGCACAAATGATTTGAACAACCAAGAACTTGTTCATGAAACTGAAGTTATATCTTATATGAGCACTGCACCAGAATTTAAACATCTTCTTGTGCATCCTGTAATAGTTAGTTTCTTATTTATGAAATGGCATAGAATCCGTTGGTTATTTTATACAAATTTGGCTTTCTATGTAGCGTTTTTTGTATCTTTAGTTTTATATGTATTCTCTTACTATGCTAATTTTGCTGAAGAGCTTTCAAAATTTGAAACATTTCTTAGTAATTTCTCATGGGCAGTATTATTAGTTACATTTTTTATCTTAGTTTTTAGAGAATTTTTCCAGATAATAATTTTACCTCACAAGTATTTTACGAATTTCGAGAACTACGTTGAAATTATGCTTATATTATTATCTGGTTCTATATTATTTGTTAATTCTCCAACTGTTAATACTCGTAAACAGCTCTCGTCACTTTCCATATTGCTGGCAGCTTTCGAATTAGTGTTGATGGTAGGTCAACATCCTAAATTATCAACAAATGTTGTTATGTTGAAGACGGTTTCATATAACTTTTTTAAATTTCTTCTGTGGTATTCCCTCCTCATTATCGCGTTTGCTCTTAGCTTTTATATCCTCTTTACTGAAATACCGTTAAAATCGTCAGATAACAATACAAATGATGAAACCGAAGATAGTTTTTCCGACCCGGGAAATTCTGTCTTTAAAACCATCGTTATGCTTACAGGCGAATTTGAGGCAAGCGATATGAATTTCAAAAGTTTTCCCATTGTGAGTAAACTCATATTTGTACTTTTCATTTTTATGATTGCCATAATATTACTTAATCTCTTGAATGGTTTAGCTGTAAGCGATACTCAGATGATTAAAAATGATGCAGAGCTACTTGGTCATATTTCCCGAGCACAGCACATTCGTTATGTTGAAATAATGTTATTAGGAAACGTAGTACCTAAAAATATCTTTAAAAAAATTAATGACATTTGTTGTTGCTTTCCGTTCGCACAAAATTGGAATTATGCCCTTTTTAAACCTCTTGCTGAAAAAGTTTGTCTATTTCCACATTTGTTCAATAATTACGAAATGACAGTGTATCCGAATAGGAACGGACAGATATTTGTACCAGTGAATAAAAAGCAAAAATGTTGTTACGGATGTTGTTATAATATTTATTTAAATCGTGAAACGATTAACAGAACAAATGAACTTGTTCAAGCTAGAAAAGAACAAAGAAAGACAGATCAAGTTTCAGAAAAAACTGAAGCTGAAATATGTCACTTGACGAGTAAAATAGAAAAATTGGAGGATCTAATTCTTTCTTTGAAAAAAGTAGTTGAAAGAAATTATAAATAAATAATTATAATTATATGAGTTACATATTTTTTATACTAAAATGAATAAGAACTAATAGGCCAGTCAGTAAAGACATCCTATTTTGAACATTTCACATTAATTACAAAAGTTTTCAAACTTTGCAATAATAAACAGCTAATTTAAACAATACTTAATTTAAATTTGCAACCATTTCCAAGGTCCGGAACTAATTAATTTATACTAAAATTGCGCTTTTGTTTATAACATTAAGAAAAAGTTTGCAGAAGTGCTGCAAACTTGAAACAATATATATTGTATTATTTTCAACTTTATATCAGATTTGCAAAAAAAAATATGTAAAAGTTTTGAAAATTGGTTGCAAATGTTATTTTTCTTAAAAATCTGGTAAATTTGCAACCTCGGACAAGGTCTGGCACCTTGAAAATTTAACAAAAATCAACAATTCGCACTTTTGCATTTGTCAAAAATTTTTAAAAGTATTGTAAATTTTACAGAACGATTTAAATACCTTTCTATAAATAAATACAAATTTGTAACGCTCCAAAATTAATGCAGATTGTAAATGGTCCATAATCAATTTGGATTTGCGAAATTAATAGAAAAATATCTAGGGGAACAAAAAAAATAGTCATAAGCAATATAGAATTTGCAACCTTACACTTCAAGCAAAATATTTAAATATTTTCTTGTTTTCATTTTTTATCGACTTTACAGATAATATTCATATTTACCCCATAGGGTAAATGAGATATTTGTTGGCCAGATGATAGTTATTGGTTATTGGCCACTTGAGCTTTAATAATTTTTATTAAGGATCAGTTTAAATTTATCTAAATTATAAATTATTCAATAAAATCCGGCAACATTTTATTACATCATCAACCATGCTTATACCCGCCACATTTTAGTATTTGGCTTCATTTTAAAGAATAAAGTTGTGTTTTCGCAGCAGAGTTAAATATTGTGATGTTTGTTTATTTTCAAACAACAGTTTATTTATTAATAATTTATTTAAACACTTATTTATTTTATAACACAACTATTCTAATTTACTTCGAATACTTCGAATGTCTTTAAACTGATCACTATTTATATTCACCACTGTCTATCTACTACCCAGACAGCACAAATCAATCCATTGGATGTCCATCGGAAGTCCATTCATGGACATATCATCTGTCCAAAGGACGTCCAGCATTTTACCAAAGGACATCCGCTGGACTATACAAATGTCCCACTTCTGGACGTCCATGTGGACTCCATGAAAGGTCCATATATGGACTCTTTTTGTATTGCTTTATTGTCATAAATATTATCAAGCATGTATTAGTTTTATACGCACTCCTTTCTGTTGACCTTCTCAGCCATTTTCTTAAGGCTATTTCGCTTACTTTTTAAGCAGCACCATTGTCACTCTCAGCAGCAGCTAAAAAAAGACATTACATTTTATACGAATATTGAGTCTTAAATCAATCCTTTAATAAACGCCTGATCAGGCAAAAGTGATAGTTAAAAATGTAAAATTTTTAGATCAAATATTATTAGCTAATATGAAAATATGCATTGACTAATGTACTTTACCCCTATACTTACATATAAACAAAAAACTGCTCATTGTTTCTTTAAATTACCATTTTACTTTCATGCCATCATATTATGTGAATTCTTTCGTGAGGGTATTAGAAATTATGGAAACGAACCATCTTTTTATATGTTTGTCATGTCCTTGTCCCTGGTTTTGGTAACTGCTGAATCTAAAATTGCAATAAAAATATGTATTTGTAAACATAAAAGAGAAATAACTTATGAAACATCTTTCAATGCATTATTTCTTAAACGTTACAAAACGATTCTATTTTATTTAATAAAACTAAAATTTACAGCTTCTTTAAAAATATTTGTATCTTCTAAATAGCCTTCTACTTCTGCTATCGTCTCATCCAGTACAAATAGAAACTTTTCTTCTGCTTTGAAAGTTTTCTCGCCTCTTAGTTACAATAATAAGTGTGTTGACATCATCTCGAATTTGCAGCATATTAGTTAGCTTTTAGTAAAGCCATTTTCTTAAATAGGTAGGTACATCATTTGACAAAATGTCTAAAAGAAAGGGATTGTTTGAATGTAAATCGAAAACATAAAGTTTAAAACATAATTGATAGGTTTTATTAGTTTAAAACAAACGATTTCCTTTTTAATTTTTAGATTTTTAAATGATTTAATTAATAATTATACTTATTTTCTTACCAGATAAACATCCATGTGCTGTTTGTTTTCTTCTTAACCTCTTTCTTCTTTTCTTCTTAGAGTCTGGCCTGAGTGGCCTTTTACTTTTCTATCTTGTCAACGAAGGCGAGTGGAGAGGAAAATTATTTGATTTATTTTAATTAAAACCTAGTAGTAAATAATTAAATTATACAAGAAGAATTATAATAATTTATTATAAGTTAGTCATTTTTATATTGTCCATCATGGACATATTTTGGACATCCATTGGACTTCTGAATGGGTATATCCATTGGATAACGGAAAACGGATGTCCAATGAATATCCATATGAAGTTCATGGACATCCAGGACATCATTTGGACAAAATGTGGATGTCCAATGGACATCGTGTGCTATCTGGGTAATTACTATTTATCTTCACTGTCCATATAACTACTGACTCTGATGGCTCATCCACCAATATTTATATAGAAATTGGTGGTCTAGAATGTTCCTCCACCAAAATTACCAGGATGTACCAGCAACGTTATCACGTTATATTTAGACTAGAAATAGTATCCCGTTGACTCTGGAATGTTCGCGAAAGTGTCTCCACCATAGTCGTCACATAGGTTTGGTCTTAAGGGTTTTAATTATGTATAATAATCAAAAAAGTTGAGCCTCTAAGGCCAAATAAGACAGAGAGGGACTTGGAGGGTTAGAGCATGACTGAATAATGAAATGCCTCACATAACAATATATACGAAAATTACAGTTTTTCTTAAGTAAGTTATATTTATTGTAGGTTTTATTTATATTTGGTAGTTTTGGTATATTATTGGTAAACTTTCGTATTTTTATTTAATATTGTGTAATGTTTACATTTTTCCGCGTTTTTTTTTTTGAGTTGCCAACTACTATAGCGTAGATGAGCACGTTAAATATTTATTGGCCGGGTGGCCAATAATTGTAACTAATCGGAATATATTCTATTGAAATTTATGATTTATTTCATATTTTGTTTATGATTTCTAAAAATATATTGTAAACAGTAGTTGGCCGGGTGTCAATTACTATCTTATATAAGAGGCCAATATCTGTAACAGGAATAATTTATTTATAAAATATGTAACGTTTTACGGCGCAGTAATAACGTTATGACCCACCTCTCGTAGTTTTTATAGATTGGTTGAGTTTTAGCCAATTAGGTAAACAATGACTTGTAACGTGTTATAGTTGGCTACTTGTTTGGCTCATGGTTTTGTGGAGGTAGGCGTCAATTTTTTAAACTGTTTTGTCGTAAAGAAAATTACACCATACATTAAAATATCACTTTTTCTATTCCAATAAAAAACTAATATTTTAGATTTCGTTTAAATTTTGTAAACAAAATTCAATTAGACTGTTTTTTGTAGAAATGCCGAAAGTCAATAAAGATGAAAAATATTTTGAAGGTTATACGGAACAGGATGTCCAGAAACCTTTAGATGCAATTAAAAATGGCGTTAGTGAAAGAAATGCGGCTGCAGAATTTAAAGTTGCTAGAGCAACCTTGCAGTTTCGTACAAGTGAGAAATTTAAAGAAAAAGTTACGCATGCACCAGATCCTATATTAAGTAACCAAGAGGAAATATTTTTAACCAATTAGATCCTAGAATGTCAACTAAAAGGATTTCCACTTTGAATCGAGAATGTTCAAGCTTTAGTGAAATCATTTTTAGATAAAAATCCACGAAATATTCCGTTCAGGGAAAATACACCTGGAAGAGGGTGGTTCAAAGCATTTTTAAAGCGCCATCCTTCTATAACTCTAAGAACTCTAGAGGCTATAACGACGGCAAGCAGCAATGTTTCAGAGTCAGATATTAGAAATTGGTTTTCTCAAATACACTCCTGTTTAAAAAAAAGGATATGATCATATATTAAACGATCCATCCAGAGTATACAACGGCGACGAAATTTGCTTTCTTCTCTGTCCCAAAAATAAGAAGGTTTTAGCTGCGAAAGGATCAAAAAATGTTTACTAAACTAAACATGATTCAAAAACGAATTTAACAGTATGTTTAGTTTCTCGGCCGTCGGTGATATAAGCCCACCAGTGATAATATATCCTTATAAAAGGCTTCCTGCAAACATTGTTAATTCTGCCCCTAAAAAGTATGGAATAGGTACGAGTGATACAGGGTGGATGAAAGAAGCAACATTTTATAAGTATATTGGCAACGTCTTTGATAAAGATTTGGTAGAAAGGGGTGTCCAGTTCCCAATAATATATTCCAATTAAATAACGAAAAAAAGCCCCTTCGAGCTTACATTTATTTTTAATTGGATGAAACAAAGTGGAACTTGTGTATTTTGATGTGGTCTTTCCGAAAAAAAGAAAAAAATGATGTAGCTGTTTTTCAATTTTTTTTAAATTAGGAAAAACCGGGTTTTCAGGAATTTTCCATGGTAAAAATGCTAATTATCTGGGCAAGTATCATTCTGATAGTAAAAATAAATGCACCAATCGGAAGAGGAGGCAAAAATAGTTCGGAATTTCATTGTACAGGTAGTTTTAATGGCGAATTTCTCCGCCCGAAGTGCTTTTACCAAAAAGTTGTTTTTTCGTTTCTTTGATCAGAAACATGAACATGAAATTTGCGATGAATTTGTGGCGAAATTATAAATGTTAGACATATGTGCCCATGAGAGAAGTTGCGTATTTTTTTGTGGGCTCTCAAATAAAATAAGTCCCGCGACGAAATCTGCCATAATTTTTCGGGAATTCGCAGGAAACCGGAAGGCGTACATTTTTTAAATTTTTTTCCCATATGATTTTCTCCTGGTTTTTCGAAAACATGTAACAAAAAATATATTTGAAGAAACTAACTGCGCCATCGGAAAGAGCACAAAAAAATATACAAAATGTTAGGAAATTAATCCTAAGCTTGAGTGTAAGTTCCAACTTGGTGATAAGCTTGTTTTTTGTTCTCTGATTTTCTTCTCGGTTGATGCTTCATCCTCCTTTTTTTGGCATTGTCAATCGCGGCCCTTTTATGCCTATCCCAGGTTTTATAAATAAACTCTTTTCCGTAACGTCGAGCTACGTAATGTTTGCGACACCTCTCATGCAATATAAAACCTGGTTCTAAAGAACTGAAAAAATCATCCCCTCTCTCTTTGCTGACCATCTGCAGACCTTTCAATCATGTCGGTCTAATTGGGGTAAGTTCACCCTCTGCAAGTTTCTGATGACATAATAAACACAGGCCAGCCATTGCAACCTGGAAACAAAAAAAATTATAGCACTGTGATAGAATTTTTTTAATTTAAGAACGTACTTACGCTAAAGAAGTCCGAAAAACCACGTGTACACAGAGCTTGCTGAACACGGTTATTAAAAATCTATGCCGATGAACACTATCAAGCGATTCAATTTTTAATAATATGACAGTTTCAAGTTTAAACTTGTCGGATAGCGAACGCCGAGACCATGGCTATCCTTGATACGACGTCCGGCGAATTTTGCGGTAATTCTATTTCTTGCACAAAACTCAAGTAACGTCTTATAACAAGTCAGTAAAATACAATTTAATAAATTTTAGGCCTAATAAATTTAGGTATGTAAGAAATTTAAAACTGGAAATCACAAAAAATCAAATAACAGAAATGCACGAGTTTTGGATCCCGCGGAGCGCGTGTAATGGGACTTTGTCGGGAAAATTCTACAACTTAGAAGAAACATACACACTTTAAACTTTGTATACACATTCAGAAGATATGAGATTTGGGATTGCTCAATTTTCAGACCAAAAAACTGAAAATCGTCAATTTTAAGCAATTTTTCTCAAAAACCGTATTTTTTGGTCGTCACTCAATGAACAGTGGTCAAAAAAATAGATAAAATATTTTTACAGAATTTTCCGTATTGTAATCGTATTCTAGACATAACAGAGTATTCAAAAAAAAAGTTTTGAGTCATTGGGTGCATTTTTGGCATTTTTGTGCCACTTCAAACTTTCGAAAAAAAATTTAGTTTTTTTAGGGAAAAAAAATTTGTTAAATTGTTTGATATCTTGGCCAATTATAATCCGATTTGGGTAAAATTCACACAGGTATAAGATATTTAAGAGTAAGCTCTGTAAGTGGCATTAAAAAAATTTAAATAGTTTGGCTGTTATAGGCAAACAATGAAATTAGGCTTGCGGTACACTTTGCCCTTCCGCCATATGCCCAATTTTGGGATTTCTCTTGCTCCCTTCTGGGAATCAATAGTCACACCCCTTAAGTTCAAAACGAATTTTTGTTTCTTCAAATATCTCAATGTTTACCAAAGTTATGAAGAATTTAGTGTTTGAACATTTAACATATTCAATTTTTCGACCTTCGCCGCCTCAAAATACTAAACAAATTTCAATCGTCCATACCGCGAGAACGGTGCATCGGATCAAAATTTCTCAAGAGACATAAAAATTAGCATTTTTTCTAAGCTTTCAAATATCGTAATCTGCGTTTTAAAAATATTGATTTATTTGCGACATGCGCATGCGCAAAATTGAAAAATTGACAAAATCCAAAATTTCGGCACTTTCGAAAAACTGCTACACTTCGTTTTGCCTTTTTTCGAAAAGATCACCTCAAAATACATAGAATCCATTTTGTTTCATCGAATTACAATTTAATGTAAGCTCAAAACCGGTAATTTAATTCCATTAATATTATTCGTATCTATGCCCATCTGGGCATAAAACCCATAATACATATGAAACGAGTAATTTATGTAAAAAATTAAATATAATAGTAATTGCGCTTTATCCAAATTCTACTAGGATCTTGCAGCCTGCCGATGTTTCGACACAAGCCATTAAAGACTCTTTGGGCAAAGAGTGTGTTAAAGTTTCATAGAGAAAATCCAAGAAGTACTGTCACAAAGGAAACATTTGCTGCTATTTTAAAAGGTGTTCTAGAAAATTTAAGACCAGATGTAATAAAACAAGGATTTAAAAGTTGTATATTTCCTTGGAATGCCTCGGCTATAGATTACTCAAAATGTCTAGGTAAAAATATTGAAAAAAAAAAATGTGAAGACGGCATAACTATTACATTTTCAAAATACAAAAGTATAATCGGAGAAGACAGGCTACGATTATTTGAGAATATGAATGAGGAAACTTATGAAGACGAAAACTTATTTAAACTTTACCAAATATATAAAGAATTTATGAAGACTAATAGTGAATAATAAAATTGAATAAAAATGTGTATTCTGAAGATGTTGAGCAAGAAATCGAAGATAATTTTATTATTATTTATTATTTTATTATAGAAACTATGCCAATTATTTTAGATGATAGCAAGAATATAAATATTGTGAAAATAGCAGAAGACCTAAAGGAAGATACAAATTATAATTTAAATTTAGACAAAAATACAAATATGGAACAATTAGACCATCACTTCGACTTTGAACCCTCTACTTCTTTCGCCATAAAAAACCATTTTATTTTTTCCAAAATGCCAAAGAGAAAAGAAAAGAGACAATCAGAAAAAGTATCCTTTGTATTGATTTCTTCAGTTTGGAGAAAACATCAAGAAGAAAAGATCGAAAAACAGAAATCAGAAGACGAACTTAAACAAAAGGGAAAAGAAGAGAGACTTCAAAAACAAAACAGAAAACAGACATAAAAGGAAAGCAACTAATTAATGGCAAACAGCAAAAAAAAAAACTCAGCAAAATAGGTTAATTCTGTTATCAACTCAAATAAAGCAAATGTTGGCGATGTTGCGAACGATGTGTTACATAATAATATTGATGCTGTTGCTAGGGGTGAAATAACATCAACAATATTGAACAATGGTGTTAAAGTTCATTTCCCTCAGGCTAATTCCCAGCCACAATTCTTTAAAGTCGAGGCACAGATGGCTAATATTTTGGTCAAACTGAAAAGTTGACATTCCAACATATTCAAAACAACATTTCTAAGAATGCTGTATTAAATGGTCTTAAATAAGAATAGCATGAAGACAAGAAGTATCCTTAAGTGGCCAATGACTGTCTCAGTTACCCTATTAGATGGGTATGAACTAGTACATAGAAGAGAAAACAATCAATAACGTAAATCGAGCCAAGAATAAGAAATTAACCCAATACCGTTGTAAATAGGCCATTTAGATAATACCTAAGGATTTATTTTAGGTTATATCGAACCGTCGCGTCAGCGTCGGTCAATTGCAATTTTGAAATAGAGTTTATATGTAAAAAAACGTCGCTAAGTTATAACTACCAATTAAGCTGGACGAGTGTAATTCACTGATTCGTAAAAAACAAAAAAAACCTGAGTGGATTTAAGTGAAATATTTCGATGACTCAATCAAATACTGCCACAACTAAAATGCTATTGTTTTGAGAAATTTTCGTTTTAAAATTTTGTAAGCCTCTATTTTCATTATTTTGTTTTTGGCATAAAATCTTTATATTTTGTTTAAAAGCTATGACATTTTGCTGTTAAAATTAACAAATACGATTATAAAAGCACCTTAGCTTGAATTATTGTAAAGTTTGTAAAAAGTTTGGTAATTTTTGCAGAAAATAACCCGAACTGAGGCAGTTTTAGATACAGTTTGCAGCTGCATTTTAAATCACTTTAGGGCATCTCTAAGAATATTTTGGTTTGTGCGGTATTTAAAATAAAATCTAGATGATATTTTGCATCCATTAAACCAAAAATGTAATTTTCTTTGTTTTTTGACTTTTATGGAAACAGAAAATCAAATAAGTAGTTATAAAAGCATCTACAACTCGAATAGATAAGTTTTGTTCCCAAAGTAATGGATTCGGAGCACTGTAAGAAACTTACTTTGATTGCCTGAATGACGACATATTATCCCATAACAAATACCAAGATCCAGACTTTCCACATATCCAATTTTAAGAATCAATGAATTTAGAAGAAATTAATATTGAGATAACTAATGTTTTTGACAATCCTGGACCATCCGGATGCAGGAAACAAAGCTCTCATAATTTAAATCATGTTTTGTCTTTGTAAATTTATTTCATTAAAACAGCAGTTTCATAATACCTTAATTTGTATATTATTTCCTTCTAATTCTATTTTTCAATTTTGTCAAAATCAAAAAATATTTCAATTTTGTTTGAAGTAGAACCAACTGTCTCAAAGTTTCAAATGATGTATTTCTTTGGTGACAAAATACCGTTTTCCATTTCTTTGTTTTATCAATAAATATTCTATATACGGAGTGGCCCAAAAGTCTGGAAACCGCCAATTATCTCGTAAATTGCTAGTCCTAATTGTACAAAATTTGGGGTACACCCATTTTGGGATACGTAGATTCCAGATTTATTATTTGCAATGTTGCCAGATTTTCCGTTTCTCTTATAATATTAGTCACTTTATTTTTCAAATTCATCACCCTGTATATTAAGTCATTATTGGAATCTCCTATTCAATACGAGTTCAACCATATGTTGTTAATTATGATTTTATGTAGTCTAGAAGGTCTTATATAAATAAAACAAACATGGAGAAATGTGGTAGACGCATTCTACCATCGATTAGGGTACTGTCAACTCACAAATGGAACACATTTTAAACACTTGATAACGTAACCATTATGTTTAAAATGTTGCAATTTTTCTTTCCTTTTACTAAAGGTTAAAAGGTGCTTCCACATTAAGCTTTTTGACTCAAGAAATAATGATGAATATATATATATATATATATATATATATATATATATATATATATATATATATATTTTTATAATGTTCGTATGCTCATTGATGAATTAAGTTTAATGCTTAAATAAAACAAGATCATTTAGGAATGTTCCTTTATTTCTTTTAGAACAATAATTTTGTGTCGAATTTCTGATCGCCCATAGCAACTACGTTTTTCTACCACCTTTCGTGTGTAATTCTTGATAAAAACTAAATATAACTTTGTACCGCCAATGTACCGTTGAGACGTGGCATCGAGAAGGTTCCCTTTGACTTGATAGAATGTATTTCGACGCCACCGACGCGACAGCAACAAACGTTCGCGAGCACTGGCCCTTAAAATAAGAATGTTACTCGGGATGTTATTTTATCTTTTAAATCTGAATCATTTATCACGATATCTGTATTAAATATGTTAAAATACTCGATAAGCATTTCTTATTAAAGTTAGGTTAAGAAATATTTTATTAAACGCGGATTGCATGATGAGTCATCTATAAAATTATTTAAAATACATATGTCGTTGAGACATAAAAATATTTTGTTTATCTACTTTGGCCTGCTGTAACTACAAGTTATTCAGATGAAATATTGCATCAGTGGATCAAGATCGAACTTTTTGTTAAACCTTAGGGACCGAGCAGGACCTACTTAAAATGTATCTATAGATTTTGGGTTTTAGTTAGTTGTAATAAATCCCATTTTCAAGGTCATTCATGCAATAGTTGTATGAGTTGTCATCGGTTTGCAGCACTTTTGCAATTTTTTGTCTATGATATAAACAAAAACACTATTTTACAAAAAAAAAAATCATGTTCTGGACTTTCAAAACAGTTGCAAATCTGATATAATGTTGAAAATATTACAGTATATATTACTTTAATTTTGCAGCACTTCTGCAATTTTTTAAAATGGTTATTATAATTTTTTGGAATTATTAATATGTTCCAGACCTCAGAAAAAGTTGCAAAATTAAATTTACAATTATTTCAATTTAATAAATATTCCAACAAAGTTTGAAAATTTTTGTAATTAATATGAATTGATTATCTCTAATGACTAGCCTATAACATTTTAGCTCATACTGAAAAAAATTAAAAGTAGTTGAAAACATTATAATGTAATAAATTTTTGTAGTAAATGAATATTTGAAATTCGTAATATAGAATTTTTGTGATTTTTTATACCTTTTTATTTTCCAGTAAAATTATAAATCTATTTTTAGCTATAATTTAACAAAGTGTATAGTCATTCTATGTATTTTTTTAATATAAAACATTTAAAAAAGTATCTTGCGGTATATTTGTATTTCGTAATATAGATTTTTGGTGTTTTTTAAATACTCGAATGAAGCTTTGATCTGAACATTTGTAATTTCCCAATAAAATTATAAAACTAGTTATAAGCTTTAATTTAATAAAGTGTATCGTCATTCTATGTATTTTTTAATATAACATTTGTTAAAAAAATTGTTTTATTTGTGTCTATGTAGGTGTAGAGGCACACTTCAACCAAAAGTCGTTTATTACCCGAGATAATAAAATAAATAAAGAATTAACATTTTACTGAAATACCGTCAAAAACGCCAGATAACAATACAACTGATGAAACCGAAGATAGCCTTTAAAACAGTGGTCGCCAAACTCTCAATGTGTTGAGCTACTTTGTTAATTTTGGAATAAACAGCGAGATGCCCACACGGAAGCCACGTAACGCAACGTAAATGAAATAATCCACAGTTAATTTATCATTATTTATTTATTTATTTTACTATTTAACTGGTAATACATACGTACTAATAATAAACTAATAACAAAATAACTAATATTACTAGTACGTACTTGTTCATAGCTACATTCCTACCTACCAAACGAAGGTGTTTGAAAAATAAACACAAACTTTTATCCAGCCACAACGGCATGTCACGTAAGATTTAAATATAGTTAATAATAACAACAAAAAAGTAACGCACTATCATGAACATAAACATTGAAAAATAAAAAAGCACGTTCAATGAGAAGGCTGACACTCAGACTCATCGATAATTTTTTTAATGTTTGCAGTATAATTTGATACAGCCATTCGAATACAATTATCCAAATGTTCATCTGTAAGTCGATTGCGATATTTGTTCTTAATAAACTTCATATTGGAAAAAGAAGATTAACACAAATAGGTTGAACTGAATAATGCTTTCACTTTCAAGGCAACACGGCATAGAACTGAATATTTGTCTTTACTTACAATAGGCCAGATACATTTGGTACTTGAGACTAACGATTTTAAGGATAATCATTTTGAAACATAATTACTTCCATTTCTGTTGCAGCGATGTCTTCGCCAAAGTTCTGCATAACACAAGTTGCAAACTGTTGGATATCAATTTCCATAAAGGGCGAAACAACAAACTGCGCTACTAAAGTCATTTCGTTGAAATCCTTAAAACGATTTTTGAAGTTATTCTTCAGGGTAGAAACTATTTTTACATGATATTTGCTGTCATAGGGTTCTAATGGATTTTGAGATATTTTTTCTGAAAGAATAGGAAAATGCTTGGCATCGCTGTTAATTAGGTTTTGTTTTTAAAACTCCAGCTTTTTGATAAATTCTTTTATATCAGAAATCATTTCCTCTAGTTCTTTGTCTCTCCCCTGAAGCTGCAAATTAAGTTCGTTTAATTTATCTGTAATGTCCACGAGAAAACCAAAATCTCTAAGCCAGATTGAATTTTCTAGTTCCGGAGTCGGTTCATCGCGTTGTTTGAAAAATTAAACTATGTCAGATAGGACATCATTAAAACGTTTCAGCACCCGTCCTCTACTTTACCATCGGACTTCGGAGTATTGACAGTCAACTTCATCGGCCAAGGTTTTGAATAATCTTCTTTGTAACGCTTGAGCTCTAATCTTGTTCACAATTTTTACCACCAGTTTCATAACGTTGT